CGACTATGAGTACACCCCCCCCCCCCCCCCCCCCCCCCCAGACACCCGACCGATCTCAACACGGACAGAAAGACAAATACAACAAGCAAAACCGAGGCCATGATTATAACGGTCTGACACCAAAGGACTGACTACTCGTTCTCTCCCAAACGCCCCTGTCCAACCCGCCTCTTGCAGGTAGAACGGCAGAGCAAACCAAAGGAGAACACCACCGACGGCTATTTTCTCAGCGGGAACTAAGGCCGCAACATTGAAAACATCAGCCCGCTACGCGATGTCATAAAGCCGTAAAGTCGCGAACTGAAAAAGCGCGCTCCGCAAACTTTCCTCACCGTCACCACACGATTACTGCCTGGCACCTTTTGGCAAGCTTTGTTGTTCTGTTCGCGTGTCTTAAACTACAATAAAAAAAAAGTACCGGAAACCAAGTCCAAGCCCAAAAAAAGAGCAGGAACAGAAACAAGAGAAACAAATCCTACTACTGCCAAATCCTTTCAACCCCGATCCTCGTCTGCATCATCGAACTGTCTCGCGTGCGCTCGATCCGCCAGCCACACCCTGCCAAAGTCCCCGTCCTCCTGCTGGCCGCTGCCGTGTCTGTCCCTCGCCTGCTGCTCCAAAATGCTAGAGTCCGTCGTCTCCCCGGACAGCACCCGCTCGATCCCACCCTCCGCTGACGCCCCCCCACCGGGCCCCGGCGAGTTCTGCCAGCTGTCCTGAGGGGGGACCAGGCGGTGAGACCCCATCTCCGACTCCGCCCCGGCCACCCTCGACACTATCGAGGACCTCGAGGAGCCGTACCCTTGTTGGTAGCCCAGCATGGGCTGGCTCGGGGAGGGGGGGACTCTAACGCCGGGCCCTGGGCGGCGGTGCGCGCGGCCGCTGTCGCCGCCGCCGCCTTGGAAAGAGGCCGTGCTCCCGCCGGCCGCCGTGTCGTGGTCGTACGTGCTCGTGCTCGTCATCTCGCTCTGCACCCTCGACGCGGCCTCCGTGCCCGCGGACGACATGGACGCCTCCGACGACACGCCGTCGTACACGTCCACCTCCCGCACCACGGGGGAAGTGCCGTGTCTGCCCGATTGCACGGTGCCCCCGGACGAGTACGCCGACCTCGCGGCGGTCGTAAACTGCGCCGCCGCGTAGTTACCGCCGCCGCCGCCGCCACCGCCGCCGAAGGTCGGGGGGATCGACGACTGCGCGTCCGTGTCGTTCCACGCCGAGGACCTATCGCTCTCCGACGGGGACGACATCGCGGCGCCGCTTGCGGCAAAGTCGCTGTGCTGCCCGCCGCCGCCGCCGCCGCCGCCACCATCGATTTTCGAGCGGCTCGGGTCGTGCACGAGGCCGCGGCCGGACGGCTGCTCTCTGTACGCTCCGATACCCGGGCCGACCTGCGACTGACGGCCCTCGTCCCGCGGGGTCCGCTCCCCGCGCTGGTGAGTGAGCACGTGCAGGAGGTTGCGGCCGGACGGCTGCTCCGAGAAGTAGTTCTCGACGGTGGGGTCCTCTCGTCTCTGCGTCTGGCTCTCCACGGACGAAGAGTCCCCGTAGACCTCGTTGTAGTGCGAGGACGCGAAGCTGCTGCTGGCGAGGCCGTCGAGAGCGCTCCGGTGCCCGCTGCCGCTGCCGCTCGCGCTGCGGCCTCGGCCGCTTCCGAGACCGCTCCGGCGCCCGCTGCCGCTGCCGCTCCCGCTGCGGAAGCCGCCGCCTTCGACACCGCTCCGGCGCCCGCTGCCGCTGCCACTGCGGAAGCCACCGCCTACCTCCTCGCTGTCCTGGCTGGTGCCTCGCGACATGCCGCGGTGCCTTTCCTCCGATTCGCTCTGGCTCGTGGTCGAGCCCGATTCGAACACCTGACGCGCGTCGATGGGCGAGGTGCCATGGCGGCGGACGCCGCCGCTGCCGCGGCCGCCTGCCTGCGCGGAAGACGCCATACTGCTTGGGCCGTAGCTGTGGACGCTCATTCGGCTGAGTGGGCTCTCGGGCACCTCACTCCTGATAGGGTACGAGGAAGAGCGGGAAAAAAACGCCAAGGGTGGTTACGAGGCATTGAGAGGGACTTGGGCAACCAAGCGCTACTGCTATTTAATTATTCTTCATGCTCCTAGGACGCAAAAACCGAGCGCCTCAAACATTTCGACGACCACGACGCCAAGAAATTTCCGAAAAAATCAGCACAAAAAGATGTGCACTGAAGACACTACAGCGCAACGAAGGCGGAAAACTCACTGCTCTTCCTCGCTGTAGTTGCTGCTGCTGGTTATGACGCTGCCTGACGCGCTGTCCCGCACGCCGCCCCTGGCCTGCCGCATCGCCTCCCTGTCGCCGCCCAACGACCTGTTCGTGTACAGGTTGGAGCTGAGCAGCGAGGAACCCGGGCTGCCCGGCATGCTCCCGTAGCTCAGGCTCTGGTCGTCGAATGGCTGGTCGTGCATCGACATGAGCCCCTGGGGGGACATCGCCGACGACGGAGTCTGCACAGCGAACAGATAGGGTACCAAGTAGAGAGCAACGACATCATCAGGGAGGGCGAGCGCACAACGGCACTGCTGGTTCAGCACTATATTTGAACAAGCAAGTAGAGAGCAACCACACCCAAAGAGGGCCCATCCAAGCGGTGCTCCCCCCCCCCCCCCCCCCCCCCCNAAGTACATCAAATCACTCACCTCGTCGTCCGCTCCTTGGAAGGGGAGTTCCATTTGGGTCGAACTGGCCGGCGACGACTCCGATTGCAAAGAGTTGGCAGCTCCAACCACCTCGTCGTCGTCTCGCAAGGCCTGGCAGCATTCAGCATTGAGCAACACAAGAAGAGGAGGTCGGAAGAAGGGTCAGTCGAGCCAGGCAAGTCGGCCAGGAAGAAAATTTAATGTCTAGACTAGCCTTCAGGTGACACAACACTGGTGACGCGTCGATGTCCAGTGCTCAGCCGGCTCGACCGGTTCATGCTAAAACAGTATCAAATCAACACAAAATGCTACAGTGGTGGCTCCGATGCAAGACGGCAAGACGGTTGTGATCGGTTGTCACGCACCTGACCCACTAAAGTATACTAGGGTACCCTCATACTCCGGAAAAAGAGGGGGCTCCGATGAACGAGGGTTGAGGGCCTTTGTCACACCGCCATCGTATGTCGGAGCCACGACTGTAATTCAAATCAACGATACACCAAAACATACACACACACCTGCTGGGGGATACCAGTGGGCTCGAGGTCGAGACACAGGACTCTCATGCGCTGTTCCTTCTTCTCGGCCAAGAATTTCTCCAGGTCGTCCGGCTGAAGCCCGTGGACCCAGTCCAGGGTCGTGCTGATTTCGTACATTTTCAGCGAGAGCAAGCACGACACATAAAATATCAGATTAGCCACGTTCAGCAATAAATGAGGGCTCGATATATTGCGGTCAATTGGTACACTTGCATTCATCCCAGTGTTGCAATGTTAGAGGGGCGAAACATTTGCTGCACTGCTTCTTCGCTGCGGGTCCCCCAAACGGGTC